GGGGGGGGGGGGGAGAGAGAGGGAGAGGGAGAGAGATGTAGGGAGAGGGCTGTATTTATTAGTGTAGCAGGGGCAGGAAGGGTTGGGAGAGGGTGGAGCGGGGATAGGGTGGGCCGAGGTTGTGTTACATTTTATTGGAGGTACAACGGGGCTGATTTGTTATAGGAGGAGGCTGTTGGCTCGCAGATTTGAACTTCGCGCGTGCGGGAGACCGTACAAGCTTAGGGTCTTTGTTGTTTTGGGTGGCAGTGCCATCTTGGGGGACGCCCTTCAGGTGGCACTGACTACACGTGCTGTAATATCCAGTCCATGAACACCAGGATCCCCAACATAAATCCCTGCCCAGTGCCATGAATTCTCTTCCCACAAAACTGCCTTTATTAGTGAAAAAGTAGCGTACATTACAAAGAGAAAACATAAGAAAATACCAGTGCTCAACGTGAACCAAGTTAACCAAGCAGGAGGGATGAAATTCCAGCAAGTGGTGGAGTCATGGGGGTGGCACGCAGTTGTTTCGCTTCCGTAGGCTTTTCTGTGTTCAGACACAGTGGGCTGGTCTGACTGTTACGACTGGGGGCAGGGAGGAAGCTAATTTCAGAAACTGGCCCACCGAGAGAAGCAAAATAATTTATCACCACTTGAGATCCCACACATGTGAAACGTGTGATTCTGAGGAGACAGACCTGGCGTGCACAGTGAGTCGAGGCGGTGCTGCCCAACGAACCATGTGGGGAAAGACAGGGAAGGGAACGCGGCAAGTTCCGGAGGCAGACGTCTCTCCCACGGCTGTGGGGGAGTGCTGAGAGAGCAGCCACGGTTGGGGTTTCAAGCTGGCTCTGCCTCTTTCTGAGCATGGGACCTCTTGCCATCAGAAGCCCTCCAACCTTCTCTTGAAATCCGCGGTCCTTTTGTCCACCTCACCTAGGAGATGCGAGGACGGCAGATAACCGGTGGAAGACCACCCGTCGGGGCTGTCCCCTGGGGGTCTCCTTTCAGGAGAGCTGGAACCCAGCATGGCTCTCTGACAGCACGTGGACAGTTCAGCCTGCCCTACTGTGCCGCTCGGAAGAAGAAACATGACCGTCTGTCTTTAAAAACAGGTTTACACAATGACCCAAAGGTGGAAGCAACCCATTGTCCATTGACAATGAATGGATAAACAAAATGTGGTACACACATACGGTGCGATGTTATTCAGCCTTTAAAAGGAAGGAACTTCTGACACAAGTATAATATGGGTGACCCTTGAGGATGTTATGCTCAGTGAAACAAGCCGGTCACGACAAAGGCAAATCCTATATGATTCCACTAATACGAGGTGCTCAGAGTGGTCAAATTCATAGAGACAGAGAGTAGAATGGTGGTTGCCAAGGGCAACGGGGACGAGGAGGAATGGGAGCTATTTGATGAGCAGAAAGCTTCACTTTGGCAAGATAAAAAAGTTTTGGAGATGATTGCATAACAGTGTGGATACCACTATATATACATATACATATACCACTATATAAAAATGCTTAAGATGGTAAATTTTATGTTGTATGTATTTTACCACAATTAAAATGTGTTTAATTAAAAAAACAAGTTTAGCCCCATGTAAGTTTATCCATTGCAGTTATGTTTATAATAGCAAAAACTTAGGAACAACTTAGATACCCCTCAGCTGAGAACCAGTTGAATAAATTATGATGCATCCATACCGTGGTCTACCGTGCAGCTGCAAAATAAAAAAGAATAAGGAAATTCTCCATGTGCTAACATGGAAAGAGCTTCACTTTATAATGCTAAGGGGAAAAAAGCTAATTACGGAACAGCGTACTGTTTATAGGTATGCCCCTAGTGTCTAAAAAAAAAAAGAAGAAGATAAGAGCATAATATAATTATGTTTTATTGCACACACACAAAGAAACTAGAAGGAACAGAAGAAATGCATCAAAATGGGTACATACAGCCAGAGTAGTGTGGCAACCAGACAAGTCAGGAAAGGGTCAGGGGTAAGGTGGTGGGGATTTTTACTGTTAAACCCTTACTAGTTATATTCTTTTATTTGGGGACTATATGAATCTATAATCTTTTCAAAAACTTATTAAATAATTCAAAGTTTAAAAACACATCTTTTGCTATTCAAAGTAAAAATTCTTACGGACACGTCTCCATCAAAATTGGGAGGTTGCAGTGACTGTGAAGATGCAGGGTTTCACAAAGGATGTGCTAACTCAAGGCTTGCAGCCCACCAAGAAGGATCAGCAACCATCTCAGCAGGACGGAGTGCAGTCCACACAGTCACCTGCCAACCTTCAAGGCACAGCCTGCCTTCAGCAGGATCTCCACTAGCTCCACATTTCCAAGGTCAGCGGCCACATGCAGAGGGGTTTGCTGCCTCTGCCATGAGAAAGTGTAGTCAAAGCACATTAAGGAGGGAAAAAATCTGCATAGTGAAAAGACAAAGGGAAAATAGACGTGTTCTCTATAGGCCTGGGGGGAAATAGATAAGAGAATAGATTGTGAGATGGGGACATTCATTGCCGTATTATTTGTAATAGTGAAAAACTGAAAGGAAGTTACATGTTTAACAAGCAGACTCATTAGATAAATTATGATATATCTATATATTGGAATAGTGGGCAACCAATAAAATGATTTTTTAAAAATAATTTCAAAATGATTTGACTATGGTAGTCAAATTCATAGAGCAGAAAGCAGAACAAAAAGACAGAATGCAGCCAAAAAGGACTTTGCAGCAACTTGGATGGATTTGCAGCAACTTATATGGACTTTGCAGCAACTTGGATGGATTTGGAGTCTATCATACTCAATGATTTATCAAAGAAACAAAGAACAGAGTTCCATATGTTCTCACTCATAAGCGGACCTTGAACAATTGTAATGCTATAAGAAAGCAACTGGCAGTAATGGGAAACTGTGGGGGGGTGAGATTGGCAGTTGAGGGAAACTGCCAGGGGAGGGAGGGGCACACCCCATCCACAAGGATACCTGCATGATCGGTGCTTATATACCTAACCCTGAAATGTACCCCACATCTTTATAATAAAAACTAAAGAAATAATAATAACTTCAAAATGATTTGACTACCTACGGCAGTCAAATTCATGAAGACAGAAAGCAGAATAGTGGTTGTAGGGGTGGGAGAGGAAGAAATGGGGAACTAGGGTTTATTAGGTTATGGAGCCTCCGTCTGGGAAGATGAAAAGTTCTGGAGATGAATGGTGGTGATGGCTACAAGACGGTGTGGATGCACTTAGTGCCACTGAACTGCACGCTGAAAATGGTTAAAAGGGTAGATTTCGTTAAGTGTATTTTACTACAATAAAATATGTTTCAAAGATTACTTTTAAAAAATGAAAAAACACATGATACAATTTTGAACCCTTAGAAAACAACACTATATCCAACTGTGTTTGATTTAATTAAAAAATACATGTAGAGAAAGAGTAGGAAATATAGTACATCAATAATGTTAACGGCAATATCTAGATGGAGAGATTCAAGTTGGTTTTTATTGCCTTCTTGATTCTTTTATTTATTTCTACGTTTTCTACATTATAATGCATAAAGGAGCCCAAGACCTCTAATTTCCTTCGGGAGTAATCATTTTCCTACCAAGAAGATGAGAGTGTCTCAAAAGGAATATGAAATCACAAGAAATTCGCCCATTCTAACCCCCCACCAAAATAATGCTGATGTGAAGACATTTCTAAAAGGAAACTTAGATATGATCGAGCCCAACTCAACCAAAGAGAGGAAACAACTTCCCCAGGGTCACACTGCTGGGCAAGGGTGTAGCCCAGGTGGCCCAGTGCGCCCAGTGATTATTGCCAAAGAGCATTCGTTAAAGACCTACCTTTGGATGGATCATCCAGGACCACACTTACCAGACAAACCTGTAAAAGGTCTGAGCCAACACGGAACAGAGACACAAATGTGACACAGAAATACCAGCAAAGCCCACTTTGACAAAACAGCCACAAGTCTGGAAGGCAGGAGATATGCTAAGGCATTAACAAGTTATCTTTCTCTCCTGGGTTTAGCTTGTTTATATTTTCTTATTATATCTGTGTATTCTTGGCCTAACAAACAAATCACAGTGATAAAGTCTAGTTCTGTATGTGGATGGCAAGCCTAACAAATACTCCTTCCCTAGCGAGCATCTAGCCAGTTCTGCTGAAACCAAAATCACATGTCAGCACAAGACTCTGTGTGTTTAGCAGAGATTTTGCCCATTAGGAGATATTTTAGATATTAACCTAGTTGAATGCAGACATGTATTTGATAACAAGAGGGTCTCTTCTCCACAAAACTGTTGTGACAGTGAAAGACAGAAGAGGGGGCCGGGAAGGGGCAGCAGTGCAAGCAAACACACACCATGCTCACAGGAGAGATGGACTCCCAGGGTGCAGGTGGGAGCACTACAGAGAGAAGAGCCAAAGCTCTGGCTTCACAGATGGGGAAGCCACACATGAGCGACAACAGGCACTGCCCTCCGCCGCCGCCCCAGCCTGGTGGGGCACCACTCAGGCGACCCTGGGAAGAGGCAGCCGCCAGGTCTCACCTGGCCCCAGGCCCCTGGGCAGACTCCAGGGGCTCGCCCAGGGAGCACGCCCCTGCACACTGTGCCCCGCCCTCTTCAGCCATCCCCCTCGGCATCCCGCTTCCAGCCAGTGATGCTTTATGAGACATGAGATTCTGCTGCGGTTGCTTGAACTTGTGATGATTCTCCTTTTGTTCCAAGAGGTCTCTTTTGCCTCTAGGCAAGGGGAAGACACATTTATGCTTTCTAATATAGACACAAAGCTTCCTTTCTGTGGGGAAGGGCTCTCTGCCAGTTACAACATTTCGCACTGGGGGAGTGGCTTTTGATTTTAAAAGCCTCTGGCAATTTACCGCTGCGCTGCTGTTTGTCTATCCAAAGTGCCGGGCCTATTCAAGGAGAAGGATTTAATCATGCTCCCACTGAACCTCAGCTGTGCATCTGAGAAAGTGCGCGAGTGGGCCTGGGGTTTGGGTGGGAGCCATGGGAGGAAAAGGATACCAAGAGCGCACAGGTTCCTCCCAGGAGTTAGCAGGCACCTTGAACTTGATCAAGACTCCCCTCAAACACACACCATGTTAAAACAGAAGAAAACAGACTCTCTCGGTTCTGATTTGCCTGGCTTACCTGGTTCGAGATGCCAACATTGTGCTGTGCACTTAATAAGCTGTTGACAACGGTGATGTGGTTGTTGATAACAGCTAAATGAAGAGGGGACTCCTTAGGCTGCAGAAAGAAATAGAAATTTAAAATCCAGAGGATTATGACTTCATTATGCAAATCAAAAAGCAATTCACTTCAGCCGATATTTCCTGAGGGCCTCTCAAGTACGGAAGCTGTGCCTCCCAGTGGGGCCCTCAGTTCTTGTTCAGCAACTGCTTTCATCGCAAGACTGCAAAGCAAGCCTGCCCACGAGCCACCAGCTTCCTCCTTCACCTGTTCTGGAACTATCCACTGAGCTCCTACTATGGACCAAGCTCTTTCAGGCTGCCAGGGATTTAGTGGTGCACAAAGCTCATTCTCCGGCATTTCTCAATCTTGTGGGGACACCAATACTAGTTTGCTTGTTTTAAAGTCACACAGACACAGTATGCAGTTACAAATTGTGCTGAGTACTGTGGAGGAAAAGCAGAAAGTGCGACGAGAGCCTGTGTGCGGGTGGGGGAGGGACGACCTTTTGGGAGGTCAGAAAAGACTTTTCTGAAGAATTGACAGGTGAGCTCAAATGGGAAGGATAAAAAAGTAGCAAAAAGGCTGAACTGCAGGACTTCTCAGAGCCCTCAGAGAACTAAAGGACCGTGGAGTTGCCACAAGGGGAAAACCATGATATATCCAGCATTTGCTCTGGAACTCTCACTCCTTGGCATGTCTTCAAGGCCTGGTGGCTCTTACACAGGGCCCCTGTTCTCAGGCCCGGCCCTCCCTCCTGCACAGAGTGCAGCCCCAACGTGTTCACCAAGCCTCCGCACTCTGCTTGCCTGACCCCCTCCGTGGCTTCGCTACCTGTCCTCCAGGCCACACGCCTCTGTGGGGCCCGACCCTCTCGCCCATCCCCACTGCAGGCCTTCTACCTGGCCCAGCCGGGCCGCAGGGCTTGCGTGGATCCGCACACGTAGCCCCCGGCTTTCCCTGGTGCCTGTCTCCCTCCCACCCAGCTGCCAGGGGCGGTGGAAGCACAAGAGAAGACACATCTTCGGAAGGAGAAAGGGCACTGAGGGGGGAGGCAGAGGAGAAGCAAGGAGGGAGTGTGGGGGCCCAAGCCATTCAGGCAGGAGAGAGGGTGGGGGGTGGTCCAGGATGGTGACGAGCAAGAGAGTGGGGAGGGCGGAGAGCCCGGGCGGAGGACCCAGAGGCCGTGTGCAGAGCAGGAGCCGAGCTGGGAGGAGAGTGGGTGAAGGCGGGAGCACAGGTGTGCGGGGCAGGCGGACAGGACGAGCACAGCCCTCAAGTGCAGTCTTGGCCTTCCTGGCGTGCTCAGGCCCCTCCGCACCTCCTCGCCACATGCTGGCCACATGCTCGTGCCCAACATTCCAGACTGCGCTGCACAGGGCCGACCGCTCTGCAGGCACCTCCTCGTTCACAGGGACCCTCGAAGTTCAATCCTACCTTCCCCGCCTCACACGTGACCTAGGATCCAGAGTTTCCACAGAGCAGGGAAGTGGCCAAGACAGGGCCTGACTCCCGACCTTCTGGACTCCAGCATCTCACCAGCCTCCTTCTCGGGAGACAGAGTAGGTGGATGGAAGGAGAGATGTGGTGAGCTGGCAAGGGTATCCCCCGCAGACGGAGAAGTGAGCAGGGACAGGCAGGAGGCCCTGCCCGAGTGAGCTGGAGACTGTCCGACAGGAGCAAGGGTGACCGCAGAGAGAGGGCTGGAGGGGGAGTGCGGCGGGCGGGGGAGCCCAGGAAGATCTTTCCGGGTCAGCTTCTTCTGCCCAGGAACAACTTCCCTTGAGACACCAAGCAGGAAAAAGGAGAAAGCCTTGCTCATCTCAGAGAAGTGGGCACTGGGTGTCACCTCCCTGCAGGGGCCTAGCTCCTCTAGAGGAGGAGGAAGCGACCTCGGACTGAACCCGGTCAGTGCAGAGCCGATTCCCCCAACATCGTGCTCCAAAAATGATCAGACAGGGTTCAAGTCACTTCCCCTCTCTTGAGTCAGTGCCCTAAATAGTCATGGCTCAGCAAGGCCAGAGGAAACACTATTCTCATAGGAGGAATGAGAAGACAGTGAAAAGCAGAGGAACGCTGCTCATCTAATTCCAGCACAGAGGGCCTTCGCTAATTCTCCTAAAGCAATTGAAACTTAAATCAATATAAAGAATTGACTTTCAAAAGAAAAACAGAATCATTCAGTGAAGGGAGAAAAAGTGTATCTTCCCTATATGCACTGCCGCCTCATCATGTTCCCAGACTGATCAAATTAATTCAAGAGTAATGGTATTTCTAGACATATGAGAAAGTTTTACTGCAGCAAATACAAATATTTAAGGCACAAAAACATTTCATTTTGTTCAGGAACTTCAAGGACGTTCTAAAACTCATCCCTTGGATTTTATTTCTCGAGATTAAGACTCAGCCTCCAAAAGACGTCAGTCTGCCTTCCCAGAAATAATTCCTCTCTTGTGAAACAACTCATCTCCTGTATCATCTGTGAAGGGCATATCCCTGGCACAGCAAACCTCACAGCGCCAGGACCAAAGCCTGTGACATTGGAATAGACTCACTTCCACGTTCTGGTGCAGATCAACATTCTCACCGAGAAACAAGTTGACAAAGGATGCTTGGCCATTCCTGGTTGCTATCTGCAAACCACGGATATTGAGCTGCAAGAGACAACCAAAGAGGATGTCAGTGGAGGGCAGGGAGGAATGCCCATTATAATCCAGGATGTTTTCTAGTGTTTAATCACATGGTAACCAATTAATGCAATGAAATAGTACAACTGCAGTCATGTACCACATTATGATGATTTGGTCAATGACAGACCTTGTCGGTGATCCCATAAGATTATAACGGAGCTGAAAAATCCCTATGGCACAAGCACTTATCACTGTGTTATTATTGCCTTACACTGTGCAGTACAACAACCTACTGTGTGTGTAGTAGTATAGGAGCAATAGCTTATACCATAAACCTAGGTGTGTAGGAGCTATACCATCCAGATGTGTGTGTGTACAATCTATGATGTTCACACGATGATAAAATCACCTAACAATGCATTTCTCAAAAAGTATCACTGTTGCTCAGTGAAGCATGGCTGTGTTTAAAAAAGAAAGTCCAACGTGTTTCCAACTATTTGGGGGAGTTATTACTTCTAAGTGTCTCCCATGAAGGTACCAGAGCCTCAGGGAATATATGTGCAATGGCCTCAATGTTTGTGCCCCACCCCCAAAGTCTTATGCTGAAACTCTAATCCCATTGTGATGATAGTATGAGGTGGGGCCTTAGGGAGGCTGTTAATCATTGAAAGATAAATTGTAAGATTGCTACAAAACATGTTCAGGTCTTCCAAAGAAGCATGCTGTTGAAAACTGTCTTCTCAAAATGGCTGCATCAGTATCTCCTGTACCACACGCTCTTCTGCAATATGACCTTGCCTCACCCCCTTCAAGAGGTGGAGTTTATTTCTTCACCTCTTGAATCTGGGAGGACCCTGCTTTGTCTTGACTGATAGAATGGGGCAGAAGTGACAGCGTGCCAGTTCCAGGCATGGCCCCTCACTAGCCTGGCAGCTGCTGTCCTCTACCTCTTGCAGTGCTTGCCCCTACAAGCCTTCCCTCAGAACCCCGCTTCCAGGCTGCGGGAAGGCCAAGACACGTGGAGAGGCCGTGTGCTGGTGCTGAGCCCAGGTGGGCTCCCAGAGGACAGCTGGCTTCAAGTGCCAGGCATGTGAGTGTGCAATCCTGGATATCTAGCTCAGTTAAGCTAGAGAAGGGCCAGGTGACCAAAGTCCTGGCCATTGTCTCAATAACTATACTCACATAACAGCCCCAAAGTAAGATTCTCTCAGCTGAGCCCAGTCAGCCCACAGAGCCAGGAAAAATAGTAATACATTGTTGTGTAAGCCACTGAGATTTGGGTTGGTTTGTTATGAAGCAACAGATAACAGAACAGATGCTAACAGGAATGATACGCATGGTCTCTGACCAGCTGAAATCTAGCTTGTACTAACACATGCCCTTGGACAAGTGGCCTATCAGGTATGGGCTTCTTTGTCTTTGTCTATGAGAATGGCATAACTACCTGTATTAGTTTTCTGTTGCTATTATAACAAATTGCCACAAATTGAGTGGCTTAATACAAGTGTATTATCTTCATGACACAGACCCCGTGTTCTGGAGGTCAGAAGGCTGAAATGGATCTCACTGGGCAAAAACACACGCAAAGAAGGGGGAATCTCATGAGAATGCACTTCTTTGCCTCTTCCCGGTTTGGGAAGCCTCCTGTGTTCTTTGGTTCGTGTCCCCCTTCCTCCATCTTCGACGTCGGCAATAGTTAGCTGAGTCTTTCTCACACCACATCACTGACATCCTCTTTGGTTCCCTCTTCCACTTTAAAGGACCCTCGTGATTCCATTGGGACCACCTAGTAATCCAGGAGGATCTCATTTTAAGGCCAGCTGAGCAGCCTTCATTCTGTCTGCAACTTAAATCCCCCTTTGCCACCTAGCATAACATATTCACAGGTTCCAGGGATCAGGCTGCGAGCATCTTTGAGGGTCTGAAGCACGACTCTGCCCCCTGCATCGTCCCACCTCTTTCTCTTTAACCACAGTAATACTGAGAGGACACACGAGCTAGTCAATGTGTACAAGATCATAACTATTATTGTTAGATCACAGCGCCAGCGAGGCCTCCAAAACGTTACGTCAGACCCCCCGGGTATGTGGCTGTCTGGTGTGCTACTGGTGCCACGTGAAAAATGCACAGAATTGCACAGAAGTTGGAATGGAAAATATAGTTTATTTACAAAGTAAATGAGAGAGAGGGAGAGAGATTGATTCACCTCACCAAAGTAGGAGAGGGGGCCAAAGATTAGGAAAACATGGCGACCACAGCTCCAGGAGCCACATGGGCAGACCATAGCTTAGCAAAACCAATGGCGAGAAAGTAAATTAGAGAGAGAGAGGAGATTCACCTCTCCAAGGTAAGAAAGCTTAGAAAATATGGCAGGGGCCATAACTCAAAGAGCACATGGCCACACCAGAGCTTAGTAAAGCAATGGCGATGGGCTGCTCAAAGTGGAATGCCTTTTAACCCTTCCCTTTGATGGGGCCAGGTCATTTAGGTGATTAGGTGGTGGTCTGCTCCGTGTCATCGCGAAGGGGACAGGTAAGTGCAGGTACTAATGTCAGGTGATGGACAGCAGGCAGATGGGTGGATTAGTCACATGACAGTTGCCATGTTGATGGGGTCTGTGTCATGAAGGTCATGAAGAGTTGGTTAGGTTAACTTGTTTACAAAACAAGCTGGGGAGTGGATTGTAAAGTGATTCTCAATAGCTACCTCTGATAAACCAGTTCTGTCCTTAGTTAGTCATTAGAGGATAAAGTGAACTGCTATAGAAACATGACAGATCTAGGCAATGTTAAAATGGCGGCTCATTGAGTATGTCGACTCCATGTTATGTCCTTCAATTATTTTATTCACTCCGCATAAAATTATTGAGTATCTCTATTTCTTACAGGCACCGAGTTAGTGGAGGAATACCTTGGTAAACAAAACTGAAAGAAATCTCTGCCATTACCTTCCAGTGGGGGAGGACAATCAATTGAACCATAGATTAGTAGATCAGTAAATCAGTAGATAGAATAAGAGGTTGTTAGGACTATAACATCAGTTATCTACAAGTGCTACAACAAGAAGTAAAATAACACGACTGGAAGGCCACTTTCCAGTGGGTGATCAAGAAAACTGTCTTGAATTAGGTGACATTTCAACTGAGTACAGAATGGTAGGATGTGCCCCAACTGGGAAGATTCAAGACCTAAAGCAGAAACAAGTTGATGAGGAACTCAAAGCAGAAATCCTGTAGGAGAAGGAGCTGCGGCATGGTGTGCAGGGCCTGCAGGCTTTTTAAGAGCCAAAGGAATACTCAAAACCAAAACAAACATATTCCTGGTTCCAAGATACCAAAAAGAAAGCCACGAGACTGAAGTGAATAAATATTTAATTGACATTCACACTTCATCGATTGTTAAATGTAATACTCATTAAATATTCATTATGTTTGTAAACAATTTGTAGCCTCCCTTTTTCACCTCCCTTAAATTCCCAATTAAGCACACAGCGTTCTAATAAATCAGAGTCAATAATAAAGTAGAGCCAGGCTCGGTGGCTCAGCCTGTAATCCCGCGCCTTGGGAGGCTGAAGTGAGTGGACTGCCTGAGCCCGCGGGTTCAAGACCCACCTGGGCAACTTGGTGAGACCTCATCTCTACCATAAAATCAAACAAATCAGCCGGGCATGGTGGCGCATGCCTGTAATTCCGGCTACTTGGAAGGCTGAGGTGGAAGGATCACCGGAGCCCAGCAGGTCGAGGCTGCGGTGGCCGGAAGCGGCCACTGCACTCCAGTCTGGGCGACAGAGTGAGACTCCAACTCAAAAAATAATAATACTAGTAATAATAATAATAAAGTAGATGAATTCGTTGTAGCCAAATAATTGTAAAAGCAAAAACAAAAAAAGCCTTTAAGAGTAATTAACAGTCCCCAAAAATGAATTTGAAACAGAATGTGGGAGCGCTTCAATATGTTTGATAAAATGTGAGGCAGGAACTCCAGAAACACCAGTTCTGAGGACCTACAAAAGTCTTCATCAGACCAAGGGTAGTGAAAAAGACCCTGGAGAGGGCAGTTGCCCAAACTCTGGGCAGCCACTCCACCCAGCACAAGTGGAAGAAGCCCACTGTCAACTGAGTCACCGTCTCACTCCAATTCCATCCTCAGAAATGTCTCGGCCGGGCTTGGTGGCTCAGCCTGTAATCCCACGCCTTTGGGAGGCTGAGGTGAGTGGATTGCCTGAGCCCGCGGGTTCAAGACCCGCCTGGGCAGCGGGACCTCATCTCTACAATAAATCAAAAAATCAGCCGGGCGTGGTGGCGCATGCCTGTAATTCCGGCTACTTGGAAGGCTGAGGTGGAAGGATCACCGGAGCCCAGCAGGTCGAGGCTGCGGTGGCCGGGAGCGGCCACTGCACTCCAGTCTGGGCGACAGAGTGAGACTCCAACTCAAAAAAAAAAAAAGAAATGTCTCAGCCCTTTCCCCTCCCTTCTTGCTGATGAGGGGGAGGGGAAGAAGGGCAAAAGCAGTCTCCTAGAGGCCAAGACCACAGTGTCAGCAGGTAAGCCATTTCCAAGATCGCACACAGCAGTCACCTGCAGATGTGACAGCAGAACGAAGTCCACCCCATCCATGATCGTGCGTGTCCAAGCTGCTGGTGTTTAGCTTCACACTGCTTGTCTCCCAGGGTCTTCCCTGGGTTGGGCAGAGACGGGTGTGGAGAGCAGGAGGTGCTGAGGTTGTTCGTGTGGAGAGTGTGCTAATGAACGAAGAAAACTCCAGAAGTAAATTTCCAGGCTGCCAAGTCTGCTCACAAGGCAGCTGAGGCCACTGGCTGCAAGGATGTGGACAATGGGGAGTCTGCGTTCTTGGCCGCTCAGGGAGAATGGGTGCATGGGAAAACCATTACAAGGCAAAGTCCCTTGAAGGCAAAATAATGACGGTCAGGAGTAAGAGATGGCACAGAACAACAAAATGTGGGGGCAGGGCTGGCTCACCCTGGAGGCCTTAGGGGACTCAGGCTAGAAGTCACTGGGGACAGAG